GGTCTGTTGGGTCTGTTGTGCCTGTTGGGTCTGTTGTGCCTGTTAGGTCTGTTGTGCTGTTGGGTTTGTTGGGTCTGTTGTGCCTCTTGTGCCTGTTGGGTCTGTTGTGCCTGTTGGGTCTGTTGTGCCTGTTGGGTTTGTTGGGTCTGTTGTGCCTGTTGGGTTTGTTGGGTCTGTTGGGTTTATTCCAGTATTAACCCCCCCCCCCGTCATCCTGTGAGCAAGTTGGACCCCCTTCCTTGACTTTTCATTGAGGGTGTTACACCCCACAGTTGTTTCGGTCCTTGACAACCTAACATGAAGTATTAAGTTTTAGGCAATAGGCATTGTCATGAGATTCTGGAATAACTAATTAAGCGTTGGGGTTTGTTGGGCCAACTGAAAACCCAACGCAAATACGCTCTTCCTAAATCGCGACAGGTATAATAGACTAAATTTTGATCTAGGCAAAAGAAGAACAAATTCCATCACCACAACTAGAAAGAGCATGTTAAATTTTAAAATTAGTAAACTGCAAAGTTTGTTTGTGAAATGTTGCAAAATCCGGAAGATATAGCCTTACGAAATTTGCAAATTTTGTATTAATTTGTATTACGCGCCACTTCGGCCCAAATGTGGTACATTTCCCGCGCGTTATACAAATTAATACCAAAATTTGAAAATTTCGCAGGGGTATATTTCCCGCATTTTACAACATTTCGCAACCAAACTTTGCAAATTTTACTAATTCAGTTTAATTAACATGTGTTCTTTCTAGCTGTGGTGATGGATTTTGTTCTTCTTGCCTAGATCAAAATTTAGTCTATATATAGCTGCAATCATCTATTGAATTGGAATAGTCATGGATAGTTTATTGGAATACTATATTATAGCCTGATAAATTATAGGTTAAAATCGGCAAAAAATTGTCCATTCCGATCAGGTGTGATGAATCCTTCATTGCGTGCAAAAATGGAAGCTTAAAACGCAATCAGTTAATAATATTTATCCCATACCTAATTTTAAGAATTTTTTATCACTGCACATTTTATGCCAAAAATTTCCGAATGACTAAGAAAATTTCCGAATATTCGGCGACCCCCTCCCCCCCGTCGCCAAAAAAATTTTGGTCAGTGTACCATTTTAAGGGTCAAAAACTTTTTCCGGACATACCAAAAGCAAGATATTAACTAAAAATTGCCTGAATCTCATGATTTTCGTACAAAAAACATATACTATTATTTAATTCGATAATTTGGCAGTCATCATTTCAATTTCAATTAAATCATTCTCTTGTGTTAATTAACAACTTATCAAAGCAAATTTTATCACTGCACATTTTACATTTTATCACTGCACATTTTACTTTTATCACTGCACAAATTGGTTATCACTGCACACTAAAATTAGGTATGATTTATCCAGGATACCGACATCACATACGCCAGGGCCCAGTGGGGTCCTGTATCAAAACTACGATATTAACAACATTAATTGTCGATATATGAACTGTTATAAAATATTTAAATATCTACATGCACGGTACAACAACGATAAAACGAAAAAATACTTAATAATTTATAAATTATTAATTTTAAGTCAGTAAGCATGAAAGATGCCTCGAATGAGTAGCAAAAAATCAGTCGATTCGGTAGTTAGAAAGTTGAGATAATCTTGCTCTAGACTGATTAATACGTAGAGGCAAGGTGGACAGCCACAGTGCACTTTGAATTCATAGGGAGCAAATTGTAAGTTTTATAAATTATCAAAATACAGGACAATTTGACGTACACTATATCTAAGTCCAAAGCGCAACCTATAAAACAGAAGGAGTACTCAAGCCAGTGAACTCTAATAATAACTGGAAGGCTAACTCCTATGATCAAAGTCTATGATTCGTTGAAGCCGGCGCGCGGGAAAATCAGCTTTCAAAAGGACTAAGGAGAGTTTCGAGGAGTGAAAAAAATTCTGCCAAAAGTTTGTTTTCGAGCAAAAATTTGCAAGAAAAACACTTTTTCCATGGGAATACAACAATGATTGGGATTTAAACCAGGTTTTCCGAGTACTTCCAACTGTTTTACATCTCTCTGCAGCAAAAAGTAAGGAGTTTTGCTTTACGTTAAATCTTCTTGAAACTTCGCATACAGATGTATTTTGCATGGGTATAAAAAATTCCTGAGGTGTGACGTCTTAGTTTTATCTTAATCTTCCAAAAACTCAGAAAAAGCAGCCTAAAACGCGCGGTTTTTCTAACCGTTTGCTAATACGTGATTTGTTTGCTTTGCGAATATTAAATTCATTTATCATACTACTGATATAAATTAAATTTGGTAGTATAACTAATATTTTGGGGCAAGATTTTTCTGATCAAAAAATGTGCATATTTTGAAAAAAAAATTTAAAAAGGACTGGGTCTACTGTACCTACAAAAAAAGCTTCAAGCACGGCTCTTCACTGGCACGGCTTCAACTTCCCCCCCTGACTTAGCCTTCCAGTTATTATTAGAGTTCACTGACTCAAGCTACTGAAGCTAGCTCGCTTTGCTGAGCTGATTTCATCCCAATTGTTCACAAAAGACTTTTGAGGTGGGCTGGCTCACCAAAACAAACTACTGGTCTCACCACTGTAATTTGTATATATTATAGATATATTTTCTCATGAACCTCAGAAATTTAACACTTTCAGCAGCAGCAGCAGCAGCAACAATTTTTAAGATCAAAATCTGTCAAAAAAATCTTATTTACAATATATTTGTGCAAACAGAGCAATAACACTCGGACTGTTTAGGCAAGCCAGCACAGGTCATTGTGTTTGTCAATCTTGTAGCCAGGGTCTTTCCTCTTGGGGAGCAAAGACCCTGGTAGATGCTGGTCACGTGATCTGCTAAAATCTAGCAGATTTCTAATTGAGGGCCCAGAAGGGGTAAAATGGGAACTGGGATTGATCTATTTTTAGACTGGGAAAATGGGATTTGGGTTGCTGGGACTGGGATTTGGCCACTGGGAATGGGAAATGAAGTCCTCAAAAATGGGAATGGGATTGAAGTAATGTGAGTCGATTCCCAATTTTGATCCGTTTTTGTACGTGTCTTTGGTCATGATTTTTGTTGTTAACTACTGTATATTATTCACAGCACTACCTGCAAACAGGCACACTCTGGCGCCCGGAATTCATGTTTTTTTTGATTATGTGTGTCTCAGAATGCTGCAAATGCCATTTCCGGGATTCAAATTTTAAAATTTTCTGTGCCTTTGGCATGAGCCCCCCCCCCCCCAATCTTTCATCAAGTGTCCGCCACTTGCACACGCAGTGGCTAAATCTCGGGTCAGTCGAAATGGGATCTCACGTTAAGGCGGGCCAGCTCGATTCCCATATAAATTCAAAATGAAATTTAGTAGGAAATAATAATGAAGTCAGGATTTCGCCTAAACTGAGGGCGTCCGGGGCAGTTCGGATAACATTGGGCCAGGGCCAGTTCCTAGATGCAATAATTGGGGTGTGTATATTCATATATTCAAGTTCACATACCGTAAAAACAATCACTTTCAAAAGAAATCCGTTGAACACGAATATAATATACACCCCCCCCCCCCCAATTATCACGCTAGGAACAGCCCTGCAGTGGGCTGGCTTGTCCCATATAAACAGCCCCTAAGCTGGGTTTAAGTTTTCAGCTATCAGTGCAAAAATGACACCAGGGTTGCCAGTTTGGCGTTAAAAGAGCCAAATTTCTCGATTTTGGCTTCTTCTGACTTCGTTTGGCTACTAAAAATTTCGTTTGGCTTCTTTCTATTTTTTGGCTTCTTTTTGAATAAATACTGAAATAAGCAACTTTTCAAAAAAATAGTCTGCCATCTATCAGTAAAAGTTAGTTATAAACTCTGCTATGTTTGATCACATTATCTGGGATTCCGGATGTATGTAAATATCCGAATTAGTACCCTTTCCCCGGGCTTACGCGGTTCGCCACTTCGCTTCGAACGGCGCAATCTAATTCCCCGACCCTGCGATCCTTGGGAAGGAACGCGAGGCTCTGGGATAATCTGTTTCAAGGAGGAATCTGATTGGCCGTTGAAATGGAATGTGCAGTTCAATCTTAGCCAGGATTCCTGGGTTCCGCCAACGGATTATCCCAGAGCCTCATGTTCCTTCCCGAGGATCGCAGGCTCGGGGAATTATTGGGGGAATTAGATTGCGAACGGCGGGAAAACGAAAATTATAAAATACTCGTTTTTTCTTTAATTAATACTGTTTTTCGATCCGTAGTTGACGAAGTTGGAATTCTTAGTCACTGTGTCAAATATAAATGTATTAGCAATCTTGGCTTCTTTTGGCCAAATTTGGCTACTTTTTACGTATCATTTGGCTCTTTCAGGCTCAGACCACCTGGCCACAGAATAGGAAGTTATACCAGAAGCGTAACTCGAGCAAATATTTGTCCGCGTTTTTACAAGCGATTCGTCATCAATCACGCCATCCTGGCTAGTACAACCGGCACTTTGTACCTACCAAATCCTGATAAAAACTTCCGGCTGTACTAGCCAGGATGGCGTGGCCTGACGTGAGCGAGTTAAAATTTTCGTGGACGTCAAACAATAAGGGAAACAACTAGAGTTACGCTTCTGGTATAACTTCCTATTCTGTGACCTGGCAACCCTGAATGACACGTGCTGCAAAACATATGAACAAAGTACCTGCAACAGCAATAGTGCAGAAGATATTTAAAATCAGTTAGGAAGTTGGGCCAGGCTGGTCCAGGCCGGGGCATGCACCCCTGGAAAATTGAGGCTTGGAGCTGTGTGATCATTTTGTTTTTCAAAGAACACAGCGGCAAAGGCTTTGCTATGCAAAACTACAAGAAACTTAAAGGCAAAGGCTTCACAACAAGTGGTTTAGACCAATTATTAAAATGTGGCACTTAAATATCAAATGAAATTCTTTATAACATTACTTAGTTGGCTAAGCAACGGAATATTAACAATAAATCAATATGTAAGAAGGAATGTTTCATTAAATGAAACTTTACAAACGATCAAATCAACACTCACAACAATACTAGAATACTATACTGTTTTAACCCAACCTTGCGGAGAAAACTGTACTTGGATTAAACCAATTAATAATTAAACCCGGCCCGAGAAAATAATTTTTTCCGCTTTTATCATGTTGTGTATTTGCACTGTAGCTATATATAACTATATAAGTGGGTTTTTTCCGGCTTGTGTTTTTAAAATTTCGGATGGAAACAAGTATTACAGTAATACATTTTTGGCTTTGAATATAAATTACTTTATATTTGAAAACCGCTGAGAAAAACCCTGTATGCGGAAATAATATCGATTAAATACAAAATTGTAATACTATAGAATGAGAATATTATTTATTAACAACAATATCACAACAATCATCATTTCTTAACAGCTAATCGATGAAAAGGTTCGCTAAAATTGTTCGTATAAGGATACATTGGATAATAAAACTTCAAAGACACTCAAATTCGTTGCTCCGTTCGAGCCATATCTATGGTTCGAGCCTTCGAGTTCGGTTTTGTATGGGTTATTAATTGAATTCGAGTCAAAAGATCGAGTATTATATTTCAAAGGTTCCAGCTGTGCCGGGGCTGTGCTTTTAGGAACGGGCAATATAAAAACCGTTATAAATATATAAAGCACAGTACAATACAAAACCGTTGTATATTTCGATAAACGTTTTGCCATTTGCTAAACGAATTATACTTTCCTTTAATATAATCAATTCTAACGTTTTTGGGCTAGCCATGGATTTATAGCATCACAGATTCAATAGCCTACAATTTTCGGTTTTGCCCTATAAATTCCTGAACGGCTGAAGCGTAATTTCCATCGAGACATTGAAGAATGAAGAAAAGTCTTAATAATAAACCGTTGTATTGTTTAATCGAATTCTGTATTCATATGCTGTGATCGGCCAGCGAAGTTTAGGTGTTTGTCATGAGAGTAAAGTGTTGAACGTAAACAAAGCTTCGCACGAATGATTACTGAATATGTCTTAAATAATTCATCACGCAATAGTCTCCACATTCTGTTCATATTTCATGCAGTTTTCTGGTAAAAACCTTCCGAAATTCATCAAGTTAGGTGCAACATATGATACCCAAAAATAAAATAGTCTTACCTGATTAAAGTAGAGCAATTTGAGCAGGCTGCATACAAAACAAACGCGCAGGTTTGGGGTATTGTTCGGGGGGGTGTTTACCCCAGCAGGCAGCAACAACGTGGCACTTATATAAAATTTGGAATTTCTATTTGCAATGTTTATGCCGTTGCTACCTCTATGGTTGCTACCTATATAAATTCACATGTTCGGACAACAAACCGATGCCTAGTTACCACTGTGCTGATAATATAAATTAATAAAATTTAATGTGCACAGTTCACATTACCAAGTATTTACTCCTACTATACCATAAAAGCCATATCTACTATTTATAGGGCTTATTATGGGGGGGGGCGCTTATATAAGGACAACATTTGACGTTTATAGTAATAATATTTATTCTACTTGTAAACTATACTTACCCTGGATTCCAGAGCCTTCGAAAACTATACTGTGAACAAAAATAATATGCAAATTAACATACATGCAATTTATAATCTATACATAAAATAAGCAGCCCAGACTGAGGGGTTATATATGGGGCATATATGTTTAATGGGGGTGAATAGGTTTTCGGATCGTTGGATTTCACAGAAAAAATTGTCCGGATGTCGGATCTGGCGAATGTTTTACACGGATTTCGGATCTTATTAATACAGCAGATTGCGGATTAATCTAATATTTTGGCTCGGATCGCGGATTTTGCTTCACATCGGCGTGCAGAAATTTTTTTTGGGATCACTTCACTGAGCTATAATATTACTGGAGGAGGTGCTCCTATCTCTCGTCAGTCAAAAAAGTGTCCGCGAAAACATGGCGGATTTTCACGTTTGCTGACGCCATATGGTTCCTCCGGCTCATGGCAATTACCACTGACCAACCGCGATCCTAAGCATCCGACAAAGACCTTCGCCACAGAATAAGGTACACAGAAGGTCGACTCAAGTAACGCTGCCACGCCATGATTCATCATCAAAATGCTGACGCCATGGTCCTAGCCAGTGCGGGTTTGAGAGGCATTCCCCCCCTGGACATCCG